CACAGCCTGAGGTTGGAATCGAATATGGGTCTCTGGCACTGAGGCAGCAGTGCTAACCACTGAGCCACGATCACGTTCTAACCTGCCCTGGTCTCCTTACCTAAGGAAACGTACTTGTCATAGAGAAATTGCATAGGTTCACCAAGAATAACAGGAAATCAGATCGAAATGTATAAAATTCTGACCAGACTGGATTCAGAGATGAGGTTTCCCCTGGTCTTGGCATCCAAAACTAGGTAGCAATAGACTGAGATAGATAAAATATAGATTCCTATAAGCCAAAGGAGTCAAAGGGTATAAGGAGAGAACAGGAGTATTGCATTGAGATAGCACACAGACTGCAGCGGTTCAAGAAGGCAGCTCATGACTACCTTCTCAAGGATAATTAGGGACGAGCAATAAATGGTGGCTCCACAAGAGAATAAAAAGATCAGCCATGATCATGTTGAATGGTAAAGCAGATTTCATGGGTCAAATGGCCTACTCCTGTTCCTATTTTTTATGTTCCTTCAGCGTAGTTGGATCAAAATCCTGGAGTTCCTTTCTTTAGAACATTCTGGGGGAACTTATAGGAAACTGAACTGCAGCAGTTTAAGGAGGCTAATCATCACCATTTTCTCAAGGGTATCTTGGGATTGACAATAAATGTTGGCCCAGCTAACAAAGATGAAATTTATGAATGAATAACGAAAAGTTCTGTTAAAGGTTAAAACAAATTTTCTTCAGCCCGACGCATGATAATGCTCCTTGAAGATAAAAATGTCAATAAAATATTACTACTATAATAATCTGCAGGACAGAAACCACAAATTATACAGACATAGTGTAGTGTAATATGCCCAACATGAAGTTTTATCGTGTACAATTACCATTGGTAACAATTCAAACTGTCTTATTAGATTTGCTCCATGTATACAATATTTGTGTACTTCTCGGAAAAGAATTATATTCATAATCAAATTAATTACAGGAATGGAAAAGCCTATTGTTAAAGATCACCTATATCATTGAAGACGGTTGATTTGACAGTTTACTTCAACAGGCTTTTTTAAAAAGATTACAATAACTTCTTTAATGACAATGAAAATTGTGAGATTTTGCATTAAGGCATTCCACTAATACACAACTACTATACATAATTTATATCTTGAAAATCAAACACTTACTTGACAAATTGGGCTTCACTTTAAGAAAATCACTAGTTGTAATTGTGCCACTAGCAAATACTAATCTTTCAGTCTCACTGTGCATAGGCACAACCAGTCAACATCTGTAACCATAGAGATGACATATTTGGAATACAGTCCATACACTCATCATAACTAAGACTGGCTACTTGGCCTAGCTCAAGTTTCCATTCCTTGCCTCAAGATGAAAAATCTTTCAGATTACTTCACAGCTTGCTGAAATCAATGACTTTCCTTTTGGCACCCTGTTCTTTCGGTCCTATTATGATTAGTTGATCCAAAATGATACAATTCAATCTTGCAACAAATTGTTCTTGTCCATTTTGTCCTTGCCACCCTGACTCCCAATCCACTGCCAACGTTTTTACCCAAAATGGCACCCAGTCTCTTAATTTATCAGATGTAATATCCTTGTCCCTTGCTAACAACTTGCCTAGGGCTTCGTGCCTCACTTTCTCACTGAACTTCTGTATGACAATAGCTACATGCATATCCTACAGCCTCTTAGACCCCACTTTCAGGGGTTCCACCTTGCGACCCTTCAGCCTCTTCATCTTTAAAGATGACCGTTAAAATCCAAATCTACCAAGGTCTACATCGCACAATCTCTCCTCCTTTGACTTGTACGGTTTCTAATGCACCTCAATGGTAGGTTGCTCTGTGCTAACTTTTTTTTATTGACAAGTGATTTTTAAAATTTTCAATAAAATTATTAGAATAAGTACAAAACTAACATTCTTTAATAGTGCTCCTTCGTTGAAATGCAATTGACAATTTATTAAAGCTGGAATTTGTGACAGTGCAAATTTCTGAAAAGGGCAGTAATCCTGATAAATCCTTTGTACCCTCTCTAGTTGCAATCAGATCCTTTCTATAATGTGGTGACCAAATCGTACGGAGTACTCCACTTTTGGCCAACCAGTTCTAGCATAACCTCCTTGCTCTTTATTATTCAAGGTGGAGAATACAAGACAAGTGCTTCAATGTCTTCTTAACCACTTCATCTTCCTGCCCTATCTTCAGGAGTCCGTGGACATGAACACCAAGGTCCTCCTATTCTTCAGCACTTTCCAGGCTCCTACCACTCACAATGCAATCCCTTGCCTTGTTAGCCCTCCCCAAATGCATTATCTCACTGTTTTGGCACGAATTCCATTTGCCATCTCGTATTTGTTGCTATCATCCTCAATGTTTATCACCCTCCCAATTTTCATGTCATTCATGAACAACATCATCATATGCCCTACACGTATGCTCAAAGCGTTAATATACCTTAATAGCAAGGGACCCAGCACAGAAACCTGCGGGACCTTACTGGATCAGACTTACAGTTACAGAAACCTCCCTCTGCCATCATCCTCTGACCCTGTCTCTTAGTCAACTTTGGATTCTGAGTCCACTCTGCCTTGGATCCCACAGGCTCTTACTTTCTTAATCAGTGTGCCATGAAATACCCTCTCAAAAGCCTTACTAAAGTCCACGCATACCCTCACCAACACTCTCTGATAGCTCCTCAAATAAAAATTCAATCAACTTAGTCAGACCTGACCATCCTTTAACAAATCCATGCTGACTATCCGAGATTAAACTGTCATTCCAGTATGGATGTATACTGTCCCTCAGAATTCTTTCTGCTAACTTCACCATTAGGTTAGACTCGCTGGCCTCTAATTTCCTGATCTATCCCTTCTTCGCTTTTTATTTTAAATAATGGGACAATGTTAGCAATCCTTTAGTGCTCTGGCACCACGCATGAGCTAGACAAGATTTGAAAACTTTTGCCAGGCCCCCCGATAATTCCTCTCCTATCTCTCTCAAAAACTTTGGATACATTTAATCCAGATTTGCAGATTGAACCACTTTTAAGGCCACTGTAATACATTTTCTCTCTGTTAATTTTTTCTAACTCTTTACAGTCCTCCAGCCTGATATCTATATCTATGCCACACTTTTCCGACGTGAAGACTGAGACAAAGTGTTCACTGCGGACAGTGTCCACATATTCTGGGTACACTCCGATTACCTCTATGGTCCCTACTCCTTCTCTAGTGTGTTATTCTCTTTTTTTTAATATAATTTTTTAAAAACACACTTCAGCTTTTCCTTTATTCTACTGTTTTTGTATGTGCTCTTTGCTTTCTAACTTCCATCTTCAAGTGCACCCCCTGCACTTTTCATACTCCTTTAAGGCTTTACCATATTCAGCCTTCAGTACCTGCCATTAACTTTTTTAATCGCTTAATTCTAAACTTTGTCCTTTGATTAGGAAAGGCAAATGGAGTTTTGCCTTTTATTTCAAAGGGATTAGAATATAAAAATAGCAAAGTCTTGCTAAAACCATACAAAGCACAAGTTAGACCATACCTGGAACAGTGCCAACAGTTTTGGTCCCCTTATCTACATAAAGATAGGCTGGCATTGGAAGCAGTTTAGAGAAGGTTCACTAGGTTATCCAAGGTATGGAAGCACTGCATTATGAGGAGAGGTTGAGTACGTTTGGATTCTACTCTGTGGAATTTATAAAAATGAGGGGCACCCCCTTACTGATACACACAAGATCCATACAGAACTTGACAAGGTAGATGGCAGAGTCTGGGGCCAGAGGGTATAATCTCAGTGGGTAGTGAATCTGCGGTATTCGTTATCAGAGGGCAGTAGAGGCTGGGTGTTAAACAAATTCAAGGCTGAAATTGACAGATTTCTGATCAGTAAGGGAATCAATGCTTATGACAAAAAGGCAGGAAAATGGATACGAGGATTATCAGATCAATTATGATTCCATTAAATAGTGGAGCAAACTCCATGGTCTGCTTTTGCTACTAAGTCTTACAGTCTTTTCCACAACTATCCTAAATCTTAGAGTTACAGTCATTATAACCAAAATGCTTCCCTACTGACAAACGTCTCACCGACTTGGGCTCCTTTCTCAATACTAGGTCCAAAACTTTTCCTTGTTGGGTCTTCTGTCCATTGATTAAGAAAGCTGTCCTGGATACAATTTAAGAAATTTGTTCCCTCTCTACCTTGCAGATTCAAACTATACCAGTTATTTTTTAAGCAGTTAAAATCCTCGACAATTAATGCCTTATTTATTGTATTTCTCTGAAACTTGACAACATATTTTATCCTATATACCTCACTGACTGTGTGAAAGCTTGTAGGCACCACGTTTGCCTCTCTTGTGCATTTACTTTTAGACATTTGGCCTCCTTGATCCTTCTAAGATATCATTTCTCCTCACTGCTATCATTGCTTCTTTGATTAGGTTTGTGACTATTTAGCCTTGTGAAATTCACTACTTCTTTTTTAGCCTATGTTTCCTCTGCCTTCCAGACTCGCATGTTTTAACTTCTCTTCCAAATCAGCTCCTCTTCCCTTTGAAAGTGTTCTGTTCTAGCAGACTTATGATAGGAAGCGGGGACTGTACACAGCATTCTTCACAGAAAGTAGTACTGGAGAATGGAGATGTGAAGGAGGGGTGTGCGCACACACAAGAAACAGCACACAAGACAGCAAGAGTGATCTTTACTCAAGTCATTTGTTCCCAAATCATCTTTGGTCAGCAGTACCAAAAAGCATTCATCACAGAAGTAAAATTAAAGAGTAAGTGTACAAGTATCATGTGTTGATCTATTCAGAAAGTACAGTTTCCTCCAACAGCATTGACGCTTGCACACAATTAAACATAATGAATGGTTCGCAACAACCATCTTATAGAACAGTGGAACACTAACTTTTAAATATGTAGTTTCAAATAAAATTCAATGAATCTAAGGTTACTTCATAATTTTTATTTCTGCACCTGTCGCTTACCTTCATGTTCCCTAATCGTCTTGTCCGGTCAATAACTAGAAGCTTTTTGATGAGATCTCTGAAACAAAAAAATTACATGTAACATCAAAAAAATTACTTCCTATACAGCAACAGATCTGGTCAACATTAACAGACCTTATTTGAAGATGTATAAACAGAATGTTAATATAGTCAAAGTTTTCTAAAATACATTCAATGTCAAATTAGAGGTCATGTAATTTTTTTTTTTTTACAAAGACTGACATTTTAAACAATTGAAAGAATAACCCAAGAATTGAAATCATAATTTTGTACAAATTAATCTGAAACAGAAGCTTAGCATGGATGAATTATAAATGTTCCATTTCCCTTTTTAAAAATGTATTGCTAGAACTCTTGTTTCATGGTTCCAGGTATCTCGAAGCAGAGACTAGAGGATAAAATAAAACAAAAAATCTGGCCAAAATCATGACAATTGTCAGAGTCATAGAGATATACAACACAGAAACAGACCCTTCAGTCCAACTCTTTCATGCTGACCAGATATCCTAAATAAACTTAGTCCCATTTGCCAGCATTTGGCCCATATTCCTCTAAACTCTTGCTATTCGTACACCCATCCAGATGCCTTTTAAATATTGTAATTGTACCAGCCTCCATCGCTTCCTCAGGCAGCTCATTCCATACATGCACCACCCTCTGCGTGAAAAAAGGTCCTTTTTTAAATCGTTCCCCTCTCCACTTAAGCCTATGCCCTCTGGTTTTGGACTCCCTCACCTCGGGGAAAAGACCGTTTGTCTATTTACCCTATCTATGCCCCTCATTTTTTTATAAATCTCTGTCAGGTCACCCCTCAGCCTCCAACGCTCCAGGGAAAATTGCCCCAGCCTTTTGAGCCTCTCCTATAACTCAAACCCTCCAACCCTGGCAACATCCACAAATCTTTTCTGAGCGCTTTCAAGTCTCACAGTATCCTTCCTATAGCAGGGAGACCAGAACTGAATGCAGTATTCCAAAAGTGGCCTAACCAATGACCTGTACAGGTGCAACATGACCTCCCAACTCCTAGACTCAATGCACTGACCAATAAAGGCAAACATACCAAACACCTTCCTCACTATCTTATCTACCCACAACTCCATTTTCAACGAACTATGAACCTGCACTGCAAGGTCACTGTTCAGCAACACTCCCCAGGGCCTTACCATTAAGTGCATAAGTCCTGTCCTGATTTGCCTTTCCACAACGCAGCACCTCACATTTATCTAAATTAAACTCCATCTGCCAATCCTCGTCCCGTAGGCCCATCTGATCAAGATCCCATTGTACTCTGAGGTAACCTTCTTTGCTGCCCACTACATCTCCAATTTTGATGTCATCTGCAAACTTACTAACCATATGTCTTAGCTTCACATCCAAATCATTTATTTGAATGATAAAAAGCAGCGGACTCAGCACCGATCTTTGTGGCACACTGCTGGTCACAGGCCTCCAGTCTGAAAAGCAACCCTTCATCACCAGCCTGTCTTCTACCCTCAAACCAGTTAGCTGTATTCAAATAGCTAATTCTCCCTCTATTCAGTGTGATCTAACCTTGCTAATTAATCTACCATGAGGAACCTTGTCAAACGCCATACTGTAGTCCATATAGATCACATCTACCTCTCTGCTGTCATCAATCCTTTGTTACTTCTTCAAAAAATACTCAAGTTTAAGAGGCATAACTTCCCATTAACAAAGCCATGATGACTATTCCTCATCAGTTCTTGCTTTGCAAACACATGTAAATCCTTTCCCTCAGGATTCCCTCCAAAAACCTGCACACCACCAATGTCAGGCTCACCAGTCTATAGTTCCCTGGCTTTTCTTCGACACCTTTCTTAAATAGTGGCACCACATTAGCCAACCTCTCACCTTCCAGCACCTTATCTGTGGCTATTGATGATACAAATATCTCAGCAAGGGACGCAGCAATCTCTTCCCTAACTTCCCACAGAGTTTAGGGTACACCTGATAAGGTCCCATGGAGTTATCCACCTTTAGAGCATCTTAAGACGTCCAGCACCTCCTCTGCAAAATGGACATTTTTCAAGATGTCGCTATTTATTTCCCTATGTTCTCTATCTTCCATATCCTTTTCCACAGTAAAAACTGATGCAAAATACTCATTTAATATGTACCCCCTCTCCTGTAGTTTCTGCAAAGGTGGCCTTGTTGATCTTTAAGGGGACCCTATTCTCTCCCACTACTTATCCTTTGTCCTTAATGTATTTATAGAATCCCTTTAAATTCTCCTTAACCCTATTTGCCAAAGCTATCTCATGTCACTTGATTTCTGCTGTCTATACCTGACATATGCTTCCTTCTTTATCTTGACCAAAACCTCAATTTCTCTAGTCATCCAGCATTCCCTACACCTACAAGCCTTGCCCTTCACCCTAACAGGAACATACTGTCTCTGGACTCTCGTTATCTTGTTTTTGAAGGCTTCCCATTTTCCAGGCGTCCCTTTACCTGCAAACATCCCCCCCAATCAACATTGGGAAGTTCTTGCCCGATACCGTCAAAATTGGCCTTCCTCCAATTTAGAACTTTAACTTTTAGTGATAGAAAAGGATAGACCGGATATATCTTAAAGCTAATAGGATTACGGTCACTGGCCCCGAAGTGCTCCCACTAACACCTCAATCACTTGCCCTGCCTTATTTCCCAAGAGTGGGTCAACTTTCGCACCTTCTCTAATAGGTACATCCACATGCTGAATTAGAAAATTTTCTTGTACACACTTAAATTCCTCTCCATCCAAGCCCTTAACACTGTAGGAGTCCCAATCTATGGAAAGTGAAAACCCCTTACACCACAACTATCCCTTAATCTTACAGGTAACTAAGACCTCCCTACCAATTTGTTTATCAATTTCCTGCTGACCTTTCTTTTTTGGGGTGGGGGGGCGGGGAGAAGAAATATGGGGCTACAGTGCAATCTCAATAAGATGACCAACCCTTTCTTATTTCTCGGTTCCACCCAAATAACTTCCCTGGATGTATTCCCAGGAATATCTGCCCTAAATACAGCTGTAATGTTATCCCTAATCGAAGATGCCACTACCCCTCCTCTCTTGCCACCTCCCTATAGCATCGAAACCCTGGAACATTAAGCTGCCAGTCCCCGAGTCACATCTCTGTAATTGCTATTATATCCCAGTCCCATGTTCCTAACTATGCCCCGAGTTCATCTGCCTTACCTATTAGGCTTCTTGCATTGAAATAAATGCAGTTTAATTAATTAGTCCTACCTCATTCCCTACTTAGTTCCTTCCTGCCCTGTCTGTTTGACTTGCTCTTTTTTCCAACTTACTGGTCTCAGACTGATCACTTTCCTCGCTATCTCCCTGGGTCCCACCTAACACCACATTCCCCCTCCCCTTACTTGTTTAAATCCTCCCAAGCAGCTCGAGCAAATCTCCCTATCAATATATTAGTCCTGTTCCAATTCAGATGCAACCTGTCCTTCTTATTCAGGTCACTTCTACCCCAGAAGACATTCCAATGATCCAAAAATGTGAATCCTTCTCCCCTGCACCAGCTTCTCAGCCATGCATTCATCTGCTCTATCCTCCTTTTCCTACCCTCACTTGCTCATGACACGGAGTAATCCAGATATTACTACCCTCGAGGACCTATTTTTTAAACTCTTGCCTAACTTTCTACATTCTGTCCTCAGAATCTTGTACTTTTCCCTCCCCATGTCATTAGATGCAATGTCTACAACAACGTCCTGCTGTTGCTGAGTGGCAATACACCGTTCTGATGTCTGGCTGTCGGCCACAGAATTGTCTGTCTGTGCCTCTAAGTAGACAGTCCCCTATCACAATCGATCACTTGGAATCTCGCGTAGCCCTTGTTACATTAGAGCTAGTCTTGGTACCAGAAACCTGGCTGTCAGTCCCCTGAGAGTCCATCACCCCCTCCATTTTCCAAAACAGCTTATTTGTTTGAGATGGGGATAGCCACAGGAGACTTTTACACTACCTGCCTCCATCTCCTACCTTTCCTGGAGGTAACCCATCTACCTGACTGTATCTTCAGTTTATCTCCCTCCCTGCAACTGCCATCCATCACACTCACTAGCTCCTGTAAACTCCTCATTGCCTGTAACTGCTGCTCCAACTGATCCATGCAATCAGATAGGATTCGTAACCAAATAGACACGTCCTGCAGACATAATCATCAGTAACATGGAAACTCTCCCTAATCTCCCACATCCAACAGGAACAGCACATTACTATTAAAGGCCAATTTTGCACCTTAACAATCTAAAGACCCAGAAAATAGCAGTCTTACTGCTCTAAAACACTGCTCCAGGCTAGCTTAGTACCTATGTTTTTATATTTTTAAAGCTTAATCAAGAGACAGATCTTAATAACAACAGATAATTAAATAAAAACACTCTATTCACTATTGTAGATCTACAAAAGAAAATCAGTAAAGTTACACTTTAAAACTAGCCACTTAGCTGCTCCCGCGCTGTGAGGTCGCACACAGGTTTCTCTAACGTCAGCTGTGAATTTCAGTTTGTTTATTTTTCTTGAAACGAACTCCGATGTCCAGAAATTCTTGAAAACATGCAGCTAAGGCAGCAGCTGGCAGGTTACTGCTGGGTCAGACAGCTGTGTATGTTTCTTTCTCCATTTGAATCACTGACCATGTGGTCACTGCCCTTTGTCTGTCTGCCTCCTTTTTAAAGTGCCGTTGTTTTCATCTCTTTTCCCCTCCAAGTTCGAAAACAATGCAACAGCTTATAAAGCAGTAATTACTGCTCCCAGAATTCAAGGAAATCAGCTCCAACACTGAAAATACCTCAAAAAGGAGCAGCTCCTCCAGCCACAAATTTTTCCCACCATCCATCTTGGGTTACCCAGCAATAAACAAATCTCAAACTACTATAATCAATTTTTTAAAAAGTACTGCTCAAAATCTGAAACAACAAAACAAAAATAACTGAAAATTCTGAACAGAGAAACAAAGTTAATGCTTTAGGTCAAGATAACCTTTCTCAATCTGAAATATTAGCGCGGTG